CAGAATTAAAGAAACGTAATTAAGACGGGAAAAAAATCCATTAAAAAAAAAAAAGCAAAACAAAACAAAAACCGGAACCATTCAGTGTTTCTGGCTGTTTACCATTTACCTAAAATGGTATAAACAATAAGAGTTTTCGCTCAGGATTTCTATGCGTGATAGAAGTCTCATGGTTTTTGCTTTGGTAAAACAAAAACCGGTCTGAGCAGAGTTAAATGTTTCGAGAAATTTATACCAACCTTGAATTCCCTTAAATGGCATGTCAAATTTTTCGAGTTTAGGAAATATTCTCCAAAGACAATAGTCTTCAAGCAGGGTCTATAACGGATGTCACAGAGTCCACGGTCTAATATCCTATGTTTCATAAAAAAATACGGAATAATTCAATTTAGACGTAATGTCACTTCGAGAAACACACACGTTTTCTTGTGAGTTATCTATTAACAGGGCCTGAGGTAAACAGAGACGGAGAAAAAGGTATTAAAATGTCTGGATTTTCAAGAGCGTTCCCTATCAGAACCGGCAACTCAAGTTTTAGTGGAATATGGTTAAGAAGAACAATAGAAACCTACTTAAAGAGTTTCGCAATCTCGTCAAATCTCATAGAGCAGTCAGCAGATACAAGCCCTTCATTGCACACACAAGTTCCATTTGTGCAGTTACCATTAAAGCTACAATCGCTTGGGCACAAATTCTGGGCAATCTTCACTGGGGGGACGATATTTCCTTGGTCGTCTTTTTCGTAGGCGGTGTAGTTCCTCACGGCATGGAAAGTACAGGACGACTTAAGGCTTTCAAACGCCGATTCTACCCATTCTAGGTCACCGGTTGCCTGTAATGATAGGTAGATAATGTTATTTAAACCTAAAATCCTGAGAGAAATGTAGGAAATGTAGGTATCTTGTCACAAGGTAATTTCTCCCGATTTTCGCCATAATATTAGGCGGTGAAGGGGGAAAAGCAACGCGTTTTTAAAAAGATAGCACCACTAGCCCGATTTCCAGGGAAATAAGTCGCATGTCGGAGTTCGATCATTTAAATTATCGGAATGAAAACGATCAAGATGGCGGACGGACGCTTTGTCACGAGCTCTTGGCTTCTGTTTCTTTTTCTCCTGTTATATATCATCTGCCTCTTCCAGGATAACAGGCATGACCTATTAACCGAATTTCAGCACCGTAAATTATGTGTTATGCCATCCTGTCGACTGAAAGTGGAAAGCTGGACATTCATCCACCGAAGGCCACNGGCATGGAAAGTACAGGACGACTTAAGGCTTTCAAACGCCGATTCTACCCATTCTAGGTCACCGGTTGCCTGTAATGATAGGAAGACAATGTTATTTGAACCTGAAATCCTGAAAAAAATGTGGGTATCTTGTCACAAGGAAATTGATAATTACAAAGTTTAAGGTCGAACCATTGCAACTGCAAAAGTGAGACGAAAAGATGGTTTGTTTGGTCTCTGTTTGGGTACACAGACTATCAGTTTTCAGTGCCACCCTTTCGTGGCGCTTTAGACTTAATTTTCCTCAGTAATAATGGTAATGTTTTGACTCTACAAAGCCATTTGCCGCCAGAATAGCAAAGAGATTGACGCTATCCAGCAAAAATAAAAAAAAAGGAAAACGGAAACTGCATGGCAACGTGACTGATACTCATTGCAAACAACCCACCTGCAAATCTGCTGCGCAAGACTGTATAGCGCTGCTAGCAT